TTTTTTTGTTTTTTTCAGATCAGTTGGTAATCAAACCAGCTTAAAGAAAGCCCTAGATTTTTGTTTGCATTTGATAAGTAATCTGTTTAGTATTCACTTCTTCCTTAATTCATTATACTCAATAGAAAATGAAGAACTTTCCAATCAAGCAAAATCTTCCCAAAGTCAAGGTAAGCTATGCATTTACAAAGACAAGCTACTGTAATTTAAAATACATAAATCTAAGATATATGTTTGCAGATTTTTTACAAAATAGCAATTTTAAGATAAAGTACAAATGTGCCAAATTTACTAACTGGTTAGAGGTTTTTTTCTCTGATAGTGGATCTCATATGTATATACATATTCAATCCTGGATATATATCACATTGAGAATTATTGTGAGAAAATCATTGTGTTTGTTCCTAGGTTTGATTCGATAATAAGACTTGGGTAGACTCCAAATCCAAGTACAGTTAGTGCTGAGTCTTTTTTTCTGCAGTGAGATGACTTGACTTTATTAATTGAAAGCTTTTGCTTAGCACGTGGGTAAAAACTGTATTTGATCTCATTAATAGGTAGCTGAATTTCTACTTAAAACAAGAATAAGATGCAAGTTCTCTTTTAGATTCTTCAAAAAAAAATAGTTGTGCTTTGAAAGTAAACCCCAATGAGCTTATATCTGGGTAAACATGCACAGAATTGTACTTTTTAAAAAATTCTTTCTTTAACTATTTACAATACAATGAATATAGTATAAAAGTGAATACATGTAACCTTATTTTTTATTAAAGTATCCAAGACCAATTAAAGTATCAATTGAACAATCATTAAGCTTTTGTTTAATGATTAAGATTAAACTATTAAAATAAACTTGGGGTAAACCAGGAATAAATCAGGAGAATGAAAATGTGTATAAAAGTCATCCTGCCTTTCACGTGCTTTTGCATACTTTCCTCTGCAGTATGTCTCAAATGTGAATGGTACAACATGTATGGCATTTTATTATTCTAGCATCGAATCACAGATGAGAGTCAAATGATTTCCTACTGCTTGCTGGAAAAGTGAATGGCTGTGCCTTACACAAAGTGCCTGATGCACCACTAACTTTTTAAAATCTCCATTGATGGACTTTCTATGAGACAATACAATTTCTAATTCTAGCCAGCAATAATGGGTTTCATGGATAATTGCAATTTTGTCCCCTTGTATTCATTTACCCTTCCCAGAGTGAAAAGAACTGAATATACTTGCCATTTGAAAATTCCTAACACTATCTCACAAGAAAATTAGGACACATTGGCAACAGTCATGGATCCAATTACTGTACTTAAAAAGATTGCTTTAAAGTCAGAAAGGTTTCCTTTTTTTCTCCTGTTTAGCAGAATTAGTCAGAGGTATGTTCTGTAATGCGGTTCCTTAATAACTATTATTTTTATCTCAAATTAATGGTTCACCAGTTCTGCTGTACAACTCCTTTCCATTATATTTTCTGGAGTAATTCTGCTTTTCTCTATTCTTTCTAAACTATAAAAACTCCAGAGTTTCTAAACCATTATTAGTTCATGAGGCCTATTTAGCAAAATTGAATTCCTTCTACTTTCAGTGATATTTAGTATTTATGCTTATATACCACAAGATTGACTCACAACACTGTACAGACAAAATTAAAATAAAATTACTAAAGTAGAGCCATAAAATAATCTATATACTACTAAAACTCTCCTGTACATCTGTTTATAACCTTTAATTAGGCAAAATGATGCATTGTAAACAGTTTTTGAATCAATGAGCTGACTTAAAGAATGCATACAAAAGCTGGGACCCATTACTCTTTTGGGATTAAAATTTGGCAAAGTTGTTGCCTCTTCAATGCAGTATGCTGCCACAGTCAGCCGCAGTCATGTGTTTATTATTTCCAACACTTCTTGCCAGTTTCTCCAAGGGAAGGCAGTGGGGAAGCTGACACAAAGTTGCTTCTATTCTCACTGCTTTTTTGCCAGCACATGGTCATTCCGTTTCTCTGCTTAAGAAAGAAGGTATTTCTGAAACAATAACCCAATGGGTCATAGATTGTCTAATAACCAATAATCATAGGTATTAGCTCAGATGAGAGAAAGAGGGAAGGAGGGAGAGATGGTAAGAAGGAATTATGGAGATAAAGTAGGCCCTCAATTTTTGAAAAATCTTAAGGTACCTAATTTTATAGTATAAAACCCTCTAAATATTCACACTAGTTCTTTCTATTTTGGAAAAATAAAGTTCAAAATAGGAAACTTGCTTTCTTTCAAATAAGAAATGGACAGCCACAGAAGCTTCAACTCATGAAGGCTGTGTGAACATTGATTCATTTGGATTTTTAAAATGCTCAACTCCAGATTATTTTGGGCACCTAATAAATAAAATGAAACAAGAAATAATAAAAAAAATAAACATCTAGAGAAAACATGTATACTAGAATCCAAACATGCAGAACCGTACATTTTTAAAATGGTCGTATTACTAAAGCAACAAAAGCTAGAATGGGGATATGGGACTAAAATTAATACCAGATTGATTGTGATTGGACTGCAGTGTAACAGTTCACACAGCAGAATAATTGAACCAGTGATTTTGTCTCGTTTTGCATACCATTTTGCTTTTTGGTAGTTGTAGTAGCATCTTTTATTTTGCTCCTGTGCTGATCCATTGCTATGTAAACTGTATTAAAATGCATTCATGTTGAAAACAAACATTTCTACTGCTTCCCAAGAATTCTTACTGGTTTTGTTTCTTTCCAGCTTTTGCCACACAAATGAATCATCTCTTTGCACCTCATGGTTCTAATCCTGCTGCTACTCCAGCCCCAACCCCATCATCGGTTAAGGCAATAAGCCACTCATCAGCACTTCCATCTACAGCTGTCCCAGGGATAAGTGTGTCCAACCCTGTCTTTCCTGTCTTCCCTGGGCAGGTTATCTCCTCCGTCCATCCGCCTCAACCATCCACTCCCATCCCTACTGTTATCAAATCCCATTCACTGCCTGCAGTTCCTGCCACATCTGCTCACAGTGCCACCTCTGCTCCTCTCCCTGCTTCTTTCTCTGGACTGGCTTCTGTGCTGCCTGCCGCTGCAGCACCCCAAGGGCTCTCCACATTGTGTGCCACCCCTGCACCTAATGAAGCTTTTGCATCTGCCCCTGCTCCCTTCGCCAGCCTTCCTTTTTCTGCAGCGTCTGTCACTGCCCCAGCTAATAATCCTAACTCATTGTCATCTGCTTTAGCTGGCCTGCCTTTATCCTTGACCCCCAATTCTCAGGGAGTAGCTAGCTCCATTTCATCGACCATTGCCTGTTCTCCTGCCACTAGTTTATCTTGCCCAGTTAATTTACCCAACCCACTTTTATCTGCTTTAAAGGGGTTTCTCTCAGTAAACGATAGCTCATTAATTAATTCAAGTGCTCTGCCTTCGACTGTGACTGCTGAGCTTGCTTCTTTATCTGGTCTTCTCAGTCAGAATTCTGAAGCTGCCTCTTCATCCAGTAGCAAATGTTACGCTCCAACTGTTACCTCTTCTATTCAGCATCCTTCCACTCCAGGACTCTCCATTTTCTCAGGCCTCCCCTGTCAGCCAGGAGGGAGCAGTAGTGCAACTTCTCCTGCATTGTCATCGCAGTCCCCTTCAATAACAATGTCATCATCCAACTTGCCAGTCAGCTGTGGCTCCTCAGTGGGTCTTGTGCATTGTCCAAGCCCTGCCAATCCTGAACAGCAAGTTTCCTCCATTCCAGTAGCCCCGGCTCTAGTTAAAACAGAACCCACAAGCCCGACTCTTTCAGGTCTCAAAATCCCAACCCTTTCTGCTGGGCTCAATCACAGCACTTCAGGCCTGCCAGCCCTTGGACACGCCTATTCCTCAGCTACTTCATTACCATGCAGCTTAACTAGTTCCCTCAATTCAGCACTTCCCGCTTTGACCTCTCATCTGAACAGTTCCCCATCTATTCCCTCTCACGCTTCATCCACGCCAGTATACAATGCACTTCCTCCTTTCACTTCTTTGACCAATAGTTTTGCTTTTACTGGCAATCCAGCACTTACCCCAACTGGGCCTCTGTTGTCCATTCCACCTACAACTACTTCTGCCACACACGTCAGTTCCTCGGCCCCCGTTCTTCCACCACTAATTGCCACAGCAGCTGCCCCGGCTCCACCATTCTCCCTTAACTTGTGCAGTGCTGTCTCTTCCCTGTTTTCTGTTCCTCAAGTGCCCCTAGGCTCATGCAATTCATCCTTCCCTCCTTTCCCTGTCTCTAACACACCCTCTGTCACTCCTGCTCTCCCTTCTTTCCCTGGGCTCCAGGCATCCTCTACAATAGCAGCAGTTGCACCACTGCCAGCAGCTGCCACAGCCCCATCTCCAGCTCCGGTGCTGCCAGGGTTTGCCTCGGCCTTTAGCTCAAACTTCAACTCTGCACTGGTTGCACAGGCTGGGTACGTTTACTCCAAACAGTCAAAAGTCGTTTTGGCACATTTCTTACAATGTGCAATATGAAGTCTTAAGTATGAGTGATAAAATACTGATATTATGCTTGCTTTCTGAATTCTCTTCAGACAGAGAATTCTGTCAGTTCTCTTGTTAAATGTTGACAGATCCTATCTATGTTTTTTTTTCTTAATTCCCTTATTCTAGCAGGGAAAGCTTTAGCCTAACAGAGGATATATAATTGTTTTAAATTGATTGGAATCTTTGAAAGATTTTCTAATTAGGGATAAAATATTGGGATATTTCTACTACATATACTGAAATAGCCAATTCCAAATTAGCATGACTTTGGGTCAGTCACTCACTTTCAGCCCAAACCACCACACAGGGTTGTGGTGGGAAAAATAGGAAGAGGAAGGGATATCTAGATAGATGATAGATAGATAGATAGATAGATAGATAGATAGATAGATAGATAGATAGATAGATAGATAGATTTGCCACCTTGAATTTATGAAAATAATAAAGGTGAAATATAAATAAATAAAATAAAATATTCACATTAAAAACACTTCTTGATCAAATGTTGATTGCTTCCATACATTGTATCTATATAAGCAGTACGGTCATAGATTGGAATGTAACAATTATCATTTTTTTTTGTACTGTTGACTGTGTGAATTTGAAAATGTTCTGCTTCTGCATTTTTAGCCTGACGTCTGGACTCCAGGCCCCTGGAAATACAGTTTTTCCAGGACTTCTGTCTCTTCCTGCCATCCCTGGACTTGCTCAGAGTGCAACGCAGTCTTCCCTTCAGGAACTTCAGCATAGTGCAGCTGCGCAGTCAGCATTACTGCAGGTAAAACAATATATAAATAGAAAAGATAGACATCAGGAATAGAGAAATGATAAGTAACAAATACAGTGTCTGACATCTACAGTGAGAATAAAAGTATTTTATCTACAAAAACACATTAAGTTTTTATTTTATTTTGGTTATTTAAAATTTGATGCGAGGAAGAAACAGCAGGGATTATATGTGGAAGCAGAGAATTTTGGTGGAAAAATATCTAATTTTTTATAAAATGTGTAGTTTTACATATAGGCTATTATGTGGAATTAATAGTTCATTTATATGTATATAAATTGCTACATTTCCATAGCCTCGTTGGAATTAATGATCTCTGTGCAGAACGGATCCGCTAAGATGGTCTGCCCCAGGTACCTTCTGGATCTCTTATGGATTTCCAGTAGGTGCTTGAAGTCAAATAGTCAGATCATCAGCCCCCAGAAATCCTTCCTATAATAAAGCCCTTAACAACAGAACAGTCACTTGCCTGCAATAAAGATGCGTACTTGTGCAATGTTGCATGAAATCGGGCATTTGATGCAAGTTTCTGATACTGTGGTTATAAATTTTAACATGATTTTTCTAAGCCAGCATCCTTCATATACACTGCTGGAATTCTGTCAATGTGGCCTTTAACTGGGAATTCTTAGAACTATTCAACACCTCTAGAAGTCACACTTTTTACTCTGTACGAGATAACAGATACTGAACATCCAAGTTCATTGCCTCATTTTTATTACAGTTGTAACTGTATTCCTCTATCAATATACCAGTGCTACTGTTTGGCTGTATCATAAAATGTCCTCATCCATTTATATTTACATTAGGAACAAAGTGTCAAATTTGTGCAGATGCATGTAAGCAATGTAACTTTCATTTACATATTCTGAAACACTGAATTAAACTTTCTAAGCGTTGTATTTTACCTTCCTTGCTGGCAAATTTGGATTTTGGAAGGACCAAGGATCCAGCTTGTAGACATACCATTAATTTCTTGTTTGTTTCTTTAAAGATACACTCTGCTTCTGCTCTAGAAAACTATGCTTCTCAATCTGAGGGTTTCAGTGCATATCCCCCAGCAGCAGGAACACCTGGAACACCTTTTTCAGTGCAGGCAAGTCTTCCCCAGACTGGATGGCAATAATGAACATCAGTTTCAGCTATGAAGAAAAATGCTCTAAAAGCTTATGATGCTTCCTTCAGAAAACACATTTTCAGAACATATCATTCAAGAGAGATTCCAACAACAGTAACTGTTGCTGAAATGGTATCAGAATTGGCCTTTTTTTTTTACTTTCATATCAATAACCCTAGGAAGTCTTTATTTCATTTTTCGTAGTAAACTCTGAGGATACTTTGATTCAGGTAAGATTTTTAAAATCTAGAATAACTGGATCATTGAAAAAAATTGTTTTTGCTGTCATACCAGTGTTTTACAGATTGTTAAAAAACACTGCAATGCATGAGGTATAGGTACTGATTTAAAAATGTAGTTCAAACTCCCTATCTATCCCCCCTCAACTTTTTTTAGGAGTTTAATCTTGTGCATCTGCCTACTTTATTTAGGCTGAGCGGATTTGCACTCCTCAGAACTTTCTGCCTTGTTCTATAGAATCAATTCTAATTTTTTGTTCATTCTTTTTAAAAATTGCTTATCCATTGCTATTTACTCTGATGCAGGTAGCCCTCAGCTTAGAACCATAACAGGGACTGGGAATACATTATGAAATGGTTAAGTGAGGCATCACATGACTGCATCCAATTTACAACCTTTGCCATTAAATCTTGAAGCAAATCTCCATCAGTCATTGAAACATCAGATGACTGTGACTTGCAATCTCCTGCAGGCTTCACCATTGACTTTGCTTATCAGAAGCTGGCAGGGAAAGTTGCACATGGTGATCAAATGATTGGAGGACACTGCAACTGTTAGAAATGCAAGACAAACACCCAGATTGCAATCACATGACTGCAGGGACTGGTTGTAAGTTACCTTTTCAGCATCGTTGTAATTTCAAATAGTTGCTAAACAAATGGTTGCAAGTAGAGGACTACCTGTACTTGTTATTGAAAGTTCTACTACTTAACAATTTGTCTCAGGCCTTTCCATGGTGATACCTTCAGGATGTCTTGGCATTTCAGCTTCAGAATAGCTGTGTTTTTGAAGTAGTAATTCCAACACACCTGGAAGGTATTAAGTAGGGAAAGCTGTTTTAACTTTGTTTTAGCGATCTACCTCCCATCATTAATTTGTTCAGTCTTCTAGGATACCAGAAGCCTGCTGTAGGTATGTATTTTTTTAATGTGTAACTTCAGATTAAGTGTACAGTTTCCTTCAATCAGTAGCAAATACATTTTGTAGATTATAGTTTATGTTTCATAATAAATGTTTTTATCCAATTCATGAACAAGGCACTGGTAATAACACTACTAATGGGTCTAATATAGCCCATCAAATATAATAAAATATATTGAAGAGTTTGGGATTTGTGAATCAAGTATTCACTTTATTTATGACAACAAAACAAATGCACATAATGTCAGATTTGAATAAACTATGCGGTTAAATTCTGAACATTTTAAATTTTTAAATAGGTAGAGCTGGGTTTTCCTACAGACTCTTTTTAGTAACGGAGGGGGGGGAAAGCCAAAATAATGAAATACATTTATTATATTGGCTTTTTGAAATTAAGACCAATTAATTATTCTAATTATGAATTGTGCAATATAACACTGTTGCTATTTTAATAAAGTCTTCTGTACTATTTCGTATAACTCCTGGGAAAGTTATGACTCTTCAGCTGTTCTTATACAGGTAGTCCTCAACTTAAGATCACAATTGAGCCTAAAATTTGTGTTGCTAATGAAGCATTTGTTAAGTGAGTTTTGCCCCATTTCAGGACCTTTCCGCCACAGTTGCTGAGTTGTTAAATTAGTAACACAGTTGTTGAATTGTTAAATTAGTAACACAGTTGTTAAATGAATCTGGCTTCCCTTTGACTTTACTTGTCAGAAGATTGCAAAAGATGATCACATGACTCTACGACACTGCAGTGTTCATAAATACAAGTCAGTTGCCAAGGGTCTGAATTTTGATCATGTGTCCATGGAATGCTTCACTGGTCATAAGTGTGAAAAATAGTCATAAGTCACTTTTTTCAGTGCTGTTATAACTTTGAACAGTTACTAAATGAACTGATGTAAGTCGAGGACTACCTGTATTGTAGTTCCTAACATCCTTTAAATGATGACTATGCTTTAAAAGGCTGCTGGGAATTATAGTTCATCAACAGCTAAAAGATACAGCTTCATCAGCCTTGATTTAACATTTCTAGTGATGAATATAACCCCTGCCCCATATTAGCTCTTAAAATAATTTTGATCATATTTTAGATTTATAGTAGATATACTTGATGTTAAAATTTTAATGTGAACTTAATGCACTTTGTTGCAGTGCATAGCTTAATGTTTTTTCTAAAGATGAAAGTCTACTGAATAGTATTACTAATGTAGAAGTTTTCCATAGGTAAGCAGGTATGGAGAATGCTAATATGTACATAGCTGTATTTTTATATTTTTTTAATAAAATGAATAGCAATGATGTTTCTAAAATAGACTGAATAAACAGTTCTTTACAAACCTGCCTTTGAGTAATTTTTTACATAATAAATTAATACAAACAATTTAATACAAGATGAATATCCAGTTTAGTCATTCTACAGCAAAAGTCACTGCTGTTAAATCAAATTGCCTCTTATCCCTGCTACTACCCATACTAGTGTACATGTGCACATATATCCAAGCTATTCAGACCATTCCTTTTTAGAATAACCAATGTTATGCAGAACACAAAAAGAAATAGTAAAGAATGAAAGCTATTGGATATAAAAAGGAATTTTAACTAAAACTAGCGTACACCAGTATCATTGCAACCATCTTCGCTTCTACAGTATTCATATACTGCTTCTTTCTAAATTTTTCACCTCTTTCATTTTCTCATCAACTCCAAACACAATTTTCTCAGCCTTCCCTTTCCTCTCAATCTATGCACGCTTCCTTCATATATTGGTTTTCCTGCGCAGCTCTTTCTTTCAGTAGGAACAAGTCTCCCCAATGAATCTTAGAGTTGGAAGAGACCTTGGAGGTCTTCTAGTCCAACCCCCTGCTCAAGCAGGAAAGCATTTCAGACAATGATGTATTTTTTTTGTATTCATAGAAGCATGCTACATATAGGTTGGAAAGTGTCTCCCAGGGTGCTAACAAACATTGCTGTGGAATGTAGAGTTGGAAGATCCTACCTAGATTCAGTGCCATGTTTCACTCCAAAACAGCAACTTAAAAATTTCTGCTTTTTTTTAAATCACAATCTGGCTTACTAACATTTGATGGCCATTGTTTGCTTAGGATTCCTTTGGCATAACTGTCAGTTGAACATCTTGAGATGGGGGAGAAGCACTAAAATTCATAGCAGAGCTGCCTTGTGACCGAGATGGGAAACAAATTCAATAAATAAATAAAAGCTCTTATAAGCTCTTAATTTACTGTGACTTCTGAAAAAAGGTAATGCTTCATTTAGCATATTTCCTGCATCGTCATAAAAGCCTATACGCGGAAGTAGGCTGGGCACACACTGATTCAAGCCGTTTGTGAGAACTGACAAGCAGTCCCTTTTCTCCCGGTTAACAGCGGAACTCGTGATGGTACAGCTGTCGCATCACGGGATCCTGCCTTACAATCCAGGTTAGAATGTGCCCCTCTCTGCCTCGGAAACTACTGTAAAGGTTCCTGTATAGAAATACCCTTCAAACGAGCAGGTGTGAATGTAATTGATTTACACAAACTCCCTGGAGGAAATTCCACTCTTTAGAACTAGAACTGCAATCAGAAAAGCTTCCAGAATTAAAATAAAACGCCGCACCGAGTTATCAGTTCCGAAACAGAAGTTTAAAAGAAGAGCAATCAACCCGCTCACCACTCCGATTTAGCCCCCTCCGACGAGCAAAAAAGACGCGCGTGCGCACTCGATTGGGTTCGACTCGCCCGGCGCAACCGTGGCGCCGCCAGGAGCGTCGATGTTCCTGCGCGTGAGCATTGCCGGTGCGGGGCGAGGCCGCGGCGCTTTTCAAGCGGCTTGATGGAGTCGGCGGTGGAGGAGTTGATGCCCCGCCTCTTGCCTGTAGAGGACTGCGACCTCGCAGAAGACTTCGACCCCACGGTGCCCCCCCGAACTCCCCAAGAGTACTTAAAGCGGGTCCAGTAAGTGGATCGGTGGTGGCGCCCGCCGTGAGAGGGGGAGGCCGGTTGGGGATGGAGCTGTGCTTGATGAGTCGGCGAAGTTGGATCCGGTCAATCCGACGTTAATATTTATATGAAATGCCCGCTATATTTATATTTATTCCTATGCGGCTTGCATAGGAGTAAATGCAACAAGCGTTTCTTCTATAATGATGAACGGTTCTGGTAGGACTTGACAAATTACTTTAGACTGGTTCGCCTTGCTGGTAGCAAGACTGGTATAGTCTTGCTACTGATAATGCAGTATGGCGGTTTGGTTTTTGTGATGGTGGATTTCCTGCATTAATGTAAGGAAAGTTAATAGTGAAATTCTGCTTTAAATCCACTCGTACTGTCCTTTTCATAGTGATTTATTTGAGTTTTGCCAGTTTTTTTAAAACTCTAATAATATTGGTTATCCATCCTCTCCAAATAATAAATAAGACATGCAGACCCGGTATAATTAAATGATTTGCAGTCTTGGATTAAATGGAATGAAAAACACCTGAAACATTTCTGCATTGTGCTATGAATTTAAATCAATTTTAAAACTGAATTCATGATGGCAACATTTCAGAGAATACATCATCTAGCCTAGTTTTGTTCAAACTAATCCATTATGGACTGTAGTCTTTAGGTATGTAACAAACCCACCCACTTTGTCTCATTTTTAAAAACCCAGACTGATACTCAGATAAAGCCAGAATGATTTTAATGCTTTTTCAGACTTAATTCTTTAATTCTGAAATTAGGTTTGATTAGAAATTAAAAAGCACTTAAAGTTTCAAATATTTTTATTTTGTAGGATTGAAGCTGCAAAATGTCCTGATGTTGTTGTGGCCCAG